GTGCTACTGGGGGCACAAATGGACTTATAGATCTCGTGCCTGTCAGGGTTTTAAGTATATGTGCATGGATTCTTCTACTGTAGGTGTCTGTGACTTGTTGGCGGTAAATTCTAACAATAAATGGACAGCACTGCACTCCATTTATTGTTAACATATTCAAAACAAGTTAAACGTGAGTACAAAAATTCTTTACTCTATAGGATATCACAGTTGTATCTAAAACTCTAAATAATTATCTTTTCTTGTCAAAAGTCCACACAGAATCGAAATGACAAAACGAATTATTTTTCTCTACTGTGTTTCTTAATATACAATATGCGATAAATTCACTTACCACAGTTATATCTCGAACTTTAAATAATTGTCTCCTTTCGTCAAAGTCCACCCAGACGGGTTCAGTTACTTTAGAACACCCTTAGATAAGACAAATTATTCTCCCTATCTCTATTAAACTGAGAAACTCACTTTGAAATATACTACGATATGGCCAATCATTCACACGCCAGCTAACTTCACGTTTTCTAACTTTTTTCCTGACTGAACTTTTACTTGACTTTACTTGCGCTTGCTAGTCACCTATATATATATATACATACCTTATTCACTGTGTCCTCGAACTTTCTATAAACTATGCGAACGACGTTATAATGTAACAATACTCAGTTAAGGTAACGAGAAAAACACAGAAGGTTCGAGTAACGTGACGTCAACAATATTATTAAAACCTAGACAACAATGTAATTGCAAACACAACGTACGAAATTTGACACAACTAACACTTTTAAAACAATCCATCTTCAACACTCCTGTCTTAAAAACTAAACAGTCATTAAATATTAAGTCACAAAATAAACTAAACACTCTAAACAGTCTTGTATATCCAACAGTGTCTGTGATTAGAATTGTTCTGTTTTTCTCTAGGCATCCTGTATTAAAAGAAGTACCGCTGCAATACACGCAGCAATACAGATATTAATCTGACCGCAAATGTTTTGCATTGTTAAAACGATATTAGTTTCTGCATTATCTTTATGATCTACTTTATAGTTGTTAACATGATATGAGTTTCTGCATTATCTTTATAATCTACTTTATAATTTCACTTCAATATTCATTTATTCAATAACAAACAAAGCGTTTCAATTACTTAAAATTAATATTTATTTATTATATTTGAATACTTGTATAGCGTACTTCATACAATATGAATTTGGACCTCTACACGATGCTCAAACCTGGATACCATAGGGACCAGCAAAGGTTTTCTTGATTTCTAATGTATCCATGTACCTATAATCGATTTAGCACAAAGAAACACGTGGTTGAAATGGTTGAAATCATAGTTAATGGTTATAACAAACTATTTTTTCAACTGTAACTCGCCCATTTCACTGGGCTAATGGATAATGGCTCCAGTTCTTACCTATAAATAATAAATATATATTTTATTCAATCAAAATTCCTAAAATGGAAAGTAATAATAAATGTACTTACGTTTGTTTGTGAGTTTCGCGCAAAGCTACAGCCAGCTCTTGGGCTACTCTTTTACCAACGAATAGTGGGATTGACCGTAACATTATAACACCCCCACGGCTGAAAGGGCGAGCATGTTTGGTGTAACGGGGATTCGAACCCGCGACCCTCAGATTGCGAGTCGAGTGCCCTAACCACCTGGCCATGCTGGGCCGAAAATGTACTTACAAAGACAGAATCAGTTGTACGACCTATCACTGTAATATACGACAGCTAGTACACAATCTTCATAAACATTAAAAAGAGAGAGTGACCGATATGTGAAACTCGCCGACTTTATATAGAAGATTTGATACAAATTCATCTTACCTTTATCCCCAGGTGGGACAGCGGTAAGTCTACGGACTTCGAAATTACAACGCTAAAATACACCTGACCTTATATCATTAATCGTATGCCGGACATCGATAACAAGTTGCGAAACATATACGTGCATGTTTTAACCTTCTGAATTAGGCACTTGTTCGATGATGTTGGATAATTGAAATATACCGTAAACAAGAATATCAAATATAGTTTTCAAGACATCTAATACAAAACACAAACAATTATAGAACAATAAATATATAAAGATAAATAAATTAAGTACAATGTATTAGCAGAGACCCCTATAAAGTAGATCATAAAGATAATGCAGAAACTAATATCGTTTTAACAACTATAAAGTAGATCATAAAGATAATGCAGAAACTAATATCGTTTTAACAACTATAAAGTAGATCATAAAGATAATGCAGAAACTAATATCGTTTTAACAACTATAAATTAGATCATAAAGATGATGCAGAAATTAATATCGTTTTAACAACTATAAAGCAGATTATAAAGATAATGCAGAAACTAATATCGTGTCAAGAACTATAAAGCAGATCATAAAGATAATGCAGAAACTAATATCGTGTTAAGAACTATAAAGTTAATCATAAAGATGATACAGAAACTAATATCGTGTTATCAACTATAAAGCAGATCATAAAGATAATGCAGAAACTAATATCGTGTTAACAACTATAAAGTAGATCATAAAGATAATGCAGAAACTAATATCGTTTTAACAACTATAAAGTAGATCATAAAGATAATGCAGAAACTAATA